CCGCCGGGGACCGCCACGCGGGGACGCTCGGACGGCCGAGGAGCCGCGGCCGGCCGCTCCGCCCGGCTCAGCTACCGCTGGGAAGGAAGGCGCCGTGCCGAGCGCCGACCGGATGGTCCTTTGTTCCGAGCCCGCTGAGCCCAACGCCGACCCGTAGTCCCCTCGATCTGAACCCACCTACCCATCAGAGCCTCCACCAGCCCCGGGCCCCGCCTCCGTTCCGCCTCCTCTCCGGATCCCAGCACCGCCCATCGCCGGAAGGACGCCGCGTGACGTCGGCGCGCTGACGTCAGCCCACGCCTTCGACGTGGCGTTCCCTCCCGCCGCACTTCCGGTGAGTCAGGCGTCCGGGGCGGGTCCCCTTCTCACCATCTCCCATTACCTTTCACCTGGGCGTCCGGGGCTCACGCCTGTAAATCCTAAGCTTACTCCGGAGGCTGAGAGCTGAGGATCAGGGTGTCAACCCAGCCAGGGAAGGAAAGTTCCTGAGACTCCACTCCAATTACCCACCAAACCACAAGTGATACCATGAACAGGTGACACTTTGAACTATGTATCTTGGAATTTTTAACTGTATTAAAAGTCCTACATAGTGAATTCATAAAATACGATACAGACGGCTGAAAAAGTGGAGCTGTGGTTCTAGTGGTAGAGGGCCAAGCTGGGACAGCACCTACACTCAGGCCCCAGGACTGGCACCAAAAAGTAATAATAAACGTTTGCAGGACAGTATCAGAACTGTTTCCTTCCCTGGCTTCTAAAACGGGAAGAGATCACAACTTTTGGTGCTGCAGCTGCTGTTTGCTGATCTCTTGTTTCGCTGAAGATGTTTTTCTTATTTGACCTCTTGGGTTTCTGCCATGATTCTTACTCTGGAAGGAATTGTTTGGGAGACCAGCCATACGATGAATGGCTGGTGAGTCCACCTTGAAATTAATACAATTTTAAAATAATAATTAAAGGTCTGGGAAGGTGGCTCAGTGGTAGAGCGCTTGCCTTGCATGCCTGAGGCCCTGGGTTCGATTCCCAGCACCACATAAGCAAAAAAAAAAAAAAAGCCGGAAGTGGCCCTGTGGCTCAAGTGGTACAGCGCTAGCCTTGAGCTGAAGAATTGAGGGACAGTGCCCAGGCCCAGAGTTCAGGCCCCACGACTGGACCCAAAAAAAAAATAATAATAATTAAAAAATTGAAAGCTAAAATTTTTAAAGAAAAAGCAATAAAATTGCTGATTAGCAGAATATAATTCAGTATTACTTTAAAATCCTTTTTAATGTACTTATTGCTCTGTTGGGGAAAAATTCCTCAGATCATGTTGTACCCATAATATATTCAATTAAATTTTGAGAGTTTTGTCAATAATTTAACCAAACTAGAGACTTCTGAAAATACACTTTTAAATGGAAGAGTTAAAAATTCTAATTATCTGATTTTGTGTGTGTGTGACTAACATATCCGTTGAAAACATTTAAAAACAATTTTCAGGGTAGCCTGTGATCTAAAGGAGGTAATATTCTCAGTAAGAACACTATTTGGAAATAAATTACATGCTAAATTCATGAAATGAGGGAACATGTCATTATAAAAGAAAAGACCTGATATTATCACTAGAGTTACAACTTGTTTATAAAGTATTATTTGCGAATAACGTTTTTCATTAAGATGGAATTCTCATAAAATCCGTGGTTTCACAAAATGCAAAAAAAAAGCTTAAAGTAAAACTACTTTTTATATTTCTTACAGCTGTTATAAACTAACTACAAATAATACTTGGAAGAACTTGCTGGGGCTGCAACTGAATTCAATTTATTATTCAGTTAACAAGATCAATTTGCGCATAGTTTGAAGTTCAAGTAACAGTGTGTTCTGCCAGAAAGCATGAATATTACTCTTTAAAAAGATTTTCAACCTTTAAGGTAATGTCCACTGTGATTTTAGTCTAGTTGATCATTTTCCAAATGGGCTGGTGTTGGTAGATTTCCCATCAGGAAATAATCTGCCATATGGTGTAAGATATCAATATGGTTTTATTCAGTAAATATATTTGAGAAACAAATGCTTTCTGGATGCTGTAGGGAATACAAAATTCAGTATATCGTTTCTTTTAGTGAGAACAATGTTGGTAAAATTCCAAGTTCTCTGGCACTGGTGGCTCAGGTCTGTAATCCTACTCAGGAGAAAGAGATCTGGAGGACAACAGTTGAGGCCAGCCCAGGCAAGCAGAAATGTTAGCTAGACTTTATCTCAAAAATAACCAGAAAAAAGTAACTCCAGACATAAGTGGTAGAATGCCAGTTTAACATGCTACAAGGATGGTTTCAAACCCTAGTGCTGTCACACAGAAACAAAAAAAATTTTTTTTTGACCAAGTTGTTTGATATTCAAAAAGAAGGCTCAAAAGATTCTGAAGGTCAAAGCATTTACTTAGTCAAATTGTCCTTAAATTATATGACTTGGATCATAACTTAATCGATGAGGATACGGCTTTACTTTAGGGCTCATTAAGAGCAGTCTTCTTTCGTTAGGTAAATTCACCTTGCAACAGGTGCCTCAAGGCATTCATTGTAAACACAGGCCGTGCGTTAGAGGCCTCGGATTCTTTCTTGCTCGGTGGCAGTCAGGGTGGCTTATAAATGACCGGTGTGAGCTCTGAAGTTTTGAAGCTGATCCAGTTTCTTAAAATTTTCAGGACCTCTCCTCTCCAGAAACTTTACTTCCCTGCCCTTTGTTACCACCCCGTTCTTGAGGGTGACACCTCACACACCCCTTCCCACAAACCCTCGTTAAACCCTCCCGGAATCTGCACTCCCGGTCCTGACCACAGAATTGGGGCCATTTCGGTTCCCCCACAGTATACTCGCTTTGTCCTCGGTCCAGCCAGGCCTCCGACACGTGGGAAATAGCAATGTCTAACACTTACCGAGAGCTGACACTCTTAAGCATGACACCTAATTCATTTATGACTTTAGAACTGGTACGAGGGAGAACTTACTAGTATCTCTCTTTGTTAGATGAAGAAAATGAGATGACAAGAACCAGAATTCGCACCCTAGCACCTACACTCAGAAATCAAGCTCTGCCCTCGGGTGTGGCTCGGCCAGCAGCCCCGCTAGACCCGCTGCAGGTGAAAGCGCTGCAGAAAGGACCCACCTTCCTGACGGGCAGCGACTTGCGGCTGAGGATTGGACGTCCCAAGGAGGAAGGGGTGGGCAGAACTCGTCCGGAAGTGACGCAAGCAGGAAGCGTCTGTCCGCGGAGGAGGCGTTGTCGGCGCGTATTTGGAAATGAGGACTTAAGCCTGGCGGCCGCGCTCATCTGATTTCTTCATTTGGCTCGTGGAGATCTTAACATCCAGTCACCAAGGCCTCTTCCTTGGTTCCCTCCGCAGCGTGACTGGCTTTACCTGACAAGGAACTGCCTGCGCCACTACGGTGGACAGAAGTCGTGGGTGGTGGGAGCGAGAAGGCGCTACTGTGGTGGCGAGGCCACCGAAACCGGGACCTGGCCCGACTCGGCGCTGTTTCCAGGGACCCGGGCCGCCGGCCTATTGTCAAGACGGCTGTCAACTCGCAAAGGAAAACCACTGTCTCCCAACAATTTTCTCTGAAAGAGAACCTCAACAGGAAAAAAAAAAACCATGTCTGTTTTTCCTAAGGTATCTTTGAGACCTGAAGTTGAAAACTACCTTAAAGAAATCTTTACGAATCAAGAGGTGGGTCAGATAATCGTATTTGATGACATTTTTGCATAGTTTTAAATAGTGTTCAATCTGAGAACAAGAGGGTGAATAAGATGAACGTTTTAGCACTTAGCTGTGGGGAAAAAATGTGTCGTCTTATGGATGGCACGGAGGTGGCGGCTAAGTCCACAAGACACGGACACACACACACACACACACACACACACACACACCTACCTGTTCGAACCCACATTCAGGAACGCATGTGAACAGGATATTGTAATTTGAGTGCCACAAGACACGGACGGACACACACACACACCACACACACACACACACACACACACACACATCTGTTCGAACCCACATTCAGGAACGCAGGTGAACAGGATATTGTAATTTGAGTGCCTCTGTAAATGGTTTCAGTTGTGCTAGATGCTTGGGAAGCCTTTAACTTTCAGTCCTTTGTGATAGCGGGCTGTTACCATTTTGAAAAAAACATATTCGTGCAAAGGAATTGCCATTCAAAGCAGTTTATGAATAGCATGCATCTTGATCAGTGTCATCATTCTCCTCCATGCCTCCCAACCCCACAACTTCCCAGTTTTCTTAATTCTGTGTGTTTTGTATTGAATTTTATGCTGCTCTCATTTTAACAGATGAGAAAACTCAAGGCACAAGGAAGCAAGCTATTAACCTAATTTCACATAGCTATAAAACTACTGTAATCTGAAGATAGACCATGTACAATAAAAAATATATATATTTAGAGTTAGAGCTAGCTGCTGGTGGCTCACACCTGTAATCCTAGATACGTAGTAGGCTGAAATCTGAGGATCAAGGTTCAAAGCCAGCACAGGCAGGAAAGTCCTTGAGACTCTTATCTCCAGTTAAGTACCAAGAAAGCTGTGGCTTAGTAGAGTACTAGCCTTGTGCCAAAAGCTCCAGGACAATGCCCAGGCCCTGAATTCAAGCCTCAGGACTGTTGCAAACACACACCTTAGGGTTAGAATCTCAAACACAGGATTTGCGTTTGTTTTTTGCAAAAACTATTGTCACTTAACTGATTTCCCCCTTTGAAAATTGAGAAAGGAATATTTAGCATTGACAAAACGAGAAAGAGTAAACATTAGCATTGTTGAGTAATAGGTGGACAATTGGTTTTTGAAGATCAAGGCCTTGTATAGTCAAAGCTTTGGAAGGCTTCATGGTTAAGTCTTCATTTCTGATAGGTATGTTTGTTATTCATCTTTTTTGAAGATATCTGTTACATTTAATAATATAAAATTGTTCTCCTCTTTGGGTGACTGTGAGTATATCAAATATTGGTAATCTTAAAGATTAGGAAAATGTGATACCCTAAAGATGATGTTAGAAGTGTAAGTGCTGAAAAAGTTGGTGTGTTTTAAATATGTAGAGTAAAATCCTGAATTTACCTAGCTAATTGCATTAGATGTTTTCATCATGTTATGCTTGAAGTTGAGACTGTTTTTCAAAGCTCTTGATTGATATCAAGCATTTAGTTGCTTATTACTACATTAAACTTGAACCCTGTGAAGTATATCATTACTAAACAAAACACTGAAATGAAATGGAGCTGTTACAAAAATGTTTTTTCATTAGATGGAAAAAATGTATATTTACATTCTGCTGAGTATGTAAGATTGAAATAGTGTTCTTTTTCAGATTGTATCTTTAAGCAAACAAGAAGCAGAAGAGAAGTTTGAAACTCTGTTAAATCACTTAGCCCACCCTCCATCATTCACAACTGTCAGAGTAAATACACATTTAGCTGCAGTTCAGCATGTGAAAAATCTGTTGCTTGATGAACTTCAGAAGGTTTGTACAAAGGTTTATACAATTGTATTTCTACAGTTTGTCATTGCTTCCTATTAAAATCCTATGAAAGCTACAATAATCAGACTTTATAGTTTGGAAACAGAATGTAAATTGTGCTAGGTTACATAATAATGTTAAAACTTGAACTTATAATTCTGATTTAGGATGAGTTTCCAAGCCTGTTTGCTTTATCATTAAAATATGGATGTTTATTCTGACTACCATTTCACAATTAGCTTGTAATGATGAAGGGAGTTGATTGTATAGTTGGAATACACCCAGACAAATGCCAACCAAATATCGGTAGGCTTCTATTTTTAATGGAACTAACACACGGGAAAGTATCAGTAATAAGGAAATGAGAACAATATAAGGAATGTAGGGGTTTTTTGTTTTAAGAAAATATTGTGAAATTACACTCATCTTCTGGAAGAGAAAACTTTTAAAATGATATTTTATTATTTCCATTAAAACTGCAAAAAGTACTTGAGTTGTTTAGATAATTTCTTTGCTTTCTAAAACTTTGTATTTTGTATGAAGTTTTCCTATAAAGTATTGTAAGATGGGCAAAGCAAGCTGGGCGTCCACCCAAGTGGTGCTGTGTAAGCTAAATAGTGTAGTTATTAAAGCTTGCTTAACAACTAATGGGAATCCACAGACTTATATCTACCTCATATGTAACCAAACTAAAACCAAGAGGCTTTAAGAATGGTTCTATAAATTTCAAGTTTCAAATAGATGATGCAGTTAGAACAACAAACTAATGTGGGAATTTAGCTCATTGGTGGAGCATTTGCCTAGCATGTGTGAGGACCTAGGCTTGATCCCTTATACTGAAAAATACAAAAAAAAACCCCAACAAAAATAGCTGTACTATGAGTGTAGAAACCAGAATTTATTACAATAATAAAGACTTGAAGATTTTGGCTTATTTGATATTAATCTTTTTTTTTTTTTTTTTGTCAGTTGTGTGGCTTGAACTCTGGGCTTGGGCGCTGTCCCTCAGCTCTTCAGCTCAAGGGGAGCACTCTACCACATGAGCCACAGCACCACTTCCAGTTTTCTAGTGGTTTATTGGAGATAAGAGTCTCATGGATTTTCCTGCCCGGGCTGGCTTTGAACTGTGATCCTCAGATCTCAGCCTCCTGAGTAGCTAGGATTATAGGAATGAGCCACCAGTGCCCAGCGATATTAATCTTTTTAAGAGTAATGTTAGACATATAATATAAGCAACTAAAATACTTTCAGTATTGTTTTTGGTTGGTCCTGGGACTTGAGCTCCAGGCCTGTGTACTATCTCTGAGTTCTTTTGCTCAAGGCTATTGCTCTACCACTTTGAATCACAGTGCCACTTCTGGTTTTCTGATAATTAATTGGAGTTAAGGATCTTACAGATCTTCTTGCCCTTGGCTGGCTTTGGACTGGGATGCTCAGATCTCAGCATAGTGAGATCTGAGATTAGAGGGGTTAGCCACCAGTGCCCAGCTGATTACTTTTTGAATAGCAATTTACATGTATTTTTTCCTTTATTTGCATACATGTTTTACTGTTCTTTACAACAGTTTTTTGTTTTGGCTGGTTATGATGGGGCTTGAACTCTGGGCCTGGGTGTTGTCTCTGAGCTTTTGTGCTCAAGGCTAGTGCTCTACCTCTTGAGCCACAGCTCTATTTCCAGCTTTTTTGGTAGGTAATTGAAGATAAAAGTTTTTGGGCATTCCTGCCTGGGCTGGCTTGAAACCATTATCTTCAGATCTCAGCCTCCTAAATAGCTAGGATTAGAGGTATGAGCTACCCCACCAGTGTCCAGCTTCATCATGACATTTCTATACAAAAAGTGTACTCAAATTATACTCACCCCTTAAATCTGTATTCATTTTTTCTTTCCTCTTCAACAGCTTTCATTGATCTGTTTTGTATATGCAAATTACTTTGATCCTCATTCACTCTCTTCATTGACCCTCTGCCCTCCCTCTTGATACTTGCCTTGGGTTACTTTTCTATGATTCATTTTTAGTTATTTTTAGAATAATTTATACAAATGGGTTTCTTCATTGTAACTCTTATGTTCATGTTACATAATTTTGTTATATTAACCTCATCTGTTGATTGCTCAACAGGTTTCAGTAAGTTTCCTTACACTGTCTTTATACATGGGCCTCAGAAGATGTATTTTACTTTGTTTTTAACAGAAAAAGTTTTGACTACAGTCAGAATTTGGAGAAATTTAAATTGTTTTCATTTCTAGGAGATTATTTCTAAATTTGGGTCTTCTGGAGTCCCAGTCTGATAGAAATAAAAACTAAAGATGTAGGACAGAGCAGGTTGTCACTTTTGTAATGTAACAGATTGGTCACAAAATTTAGGGTCACTGGCATTGGATAGGAAACTGATAGAGCAGTATCTTACTTTAGCAGGAAAGGACACTTAGTAATGCTTTATACTGAAAATTTTCTCTTCCACATTCCACACTTCATGTATATTCTAAAGAGATTTCTCTATTGGTATTAATAGGTTGTTTGCCTCAGATTTCTTTAGACCACATATTAGAATTAAATTTAAATTTCTCATGCTGATGAGGATAAGGAGAAAACTCAAGGCTTCGTTTTTCACAGTGGTAATGTAGTTAGCTTGATCTGTTTGTAGAACAGTTGATCAATCTTTTTTTTTTTTTTTTCTTTTGCCAGTTGTGGGGCCTGAACTCTGGGCCTGGGCACTGTCCCTCAGCTCTTCAGCTCAAGGCTAGCACTCTACCACTTGAGCCACAGCACCACTTCCGGCCTTTTCTGCTTCTGTGGTGCTGAGGAATCGAACCCAGGGCCTCATGCATGCAAGGCAAGCACTCTACCACTGAACCACCTTCTCAGTCCCAGTTGATCAATCTTTTAAAAACTTAAACACAGTCCAGCAATTCCAATCCAGCCAAAAATGTGTGCACACGTTCTTGAACATAAATAATCATAAAATTATTTTAAAATAGTCAAAAAGAAATATGTTCCAAATAACCTATCAATTAGTGACAAATCTAGAATAGTCCTATAGTGGGGTAATGCCCATCAATGCAAATAATTATTAATAAATGCTATAGCATGGAAAAAAAAAGGGAAGAAGACACAAAACAATATGTTGTATCATTCCATTTGTAATGTTGATGAAAAGCAAATAAATAGAAAAAAATTAATAGGTGATAATGATGTTAATTTGTATTGTTACAAAAGTATACGGTTTTGTGAAAGTTAGGTTTCTGTATGTCAATTTCTTATTCAGAGGCTTAAAAATGATGTCTGCATGTAATTCTATATTGGAAATATGTTTTCAGAGTAAGTCCCTTGAGGTAAACATAGTTTGTGTTTATAAAGCATGACAGCAAAATTGAATCTTATCTAGAACTCAAGATATCCAGAATTAGAAAACATCCAGATCTTTTTTATTTTTCCAGTATTCATGGGATAAAAATTGTTACAAACCAAACTTCCTTTCATGTATAGTGATACAAAAGAAAGACAACTCCACTATGTGGATTGCTTTTTAAAATCTGTGTTTCTTTTTAACAGCAGTTCAGTGAACTGAATATTCCTGTTATTGAACATCCAGACCTCCCGGACATCCTACTTATTCCTGTGATTGGACCTAGGTTTGTAACTATTTTATTATCAAGCTATATTTTTTGTCTTCTAAGCAGATATTTGTCACAGGATCAATTCTAACTGTTTAAGACAGTAAGTTTGTCCATTGTTCACAGATTTCATATTCTGGTGTGGGATATATTACAAAAGAGGACTAGATATGTATCCATTTACCTTGACAATAATTCATGTTAGGTATACTTTGTGAAATCATTGGGATTTTTTTTTCACTTTCTGAAAAGCTTCCTTTCATTTATTTTTCTTTTATTTTCTTAAAAAAATTTAAGTGCCAAGTTAAAACTTTTTTTGAACTACAAGAGAAGTACAAAGAAAAACATTTGCTATTTTTGTAGCTGAGCTGCTTTGTAAAGTTTTGTTCATGTTCAGTTATACCGTACATTATCCTACTCATATCTTAAGACACATACTTTGAAAATCAGAAATAGATTTTATATTGAGATGTTCTATTACAGAGGACATTTTAATATAAAAATATGCACATTGCTAAAGCTTAAAGAAATCAATTGATAGCAATGGAGTAGTGGTTTCTCCATCCTATAGAGTATTATGTGGCACTCAGGGTGGGAAATTAAGTGTACTATTAAGGTGTTCATGATTTGTTAAGTAGCTAAGATAAATTTCTATACTTAGAATAATTACAGAACCTTAGTAATAAAAAATTTAATGTATTTTTGTGCATCTACATATAAAGTGGCAGCTATTACATTGGCAAGTATTAACAATGGCTTACTGAGAATGTTGGGTTGGGGAAAGAGAATCGTAAAAGGAATTTTTTTTCTTACAATATTTCTGTTCTACTATAAATCCATATCATAATTTTTAATTAAAAATTGGTTTGGGGCTGGAGGTGTAGCTCAAGAAATAGTGGCCCCTGCCTAGCAAGCATGAGGCCCTGAACTCAAACCACAGTATTGCAGAAACAAAAAACTAAAATCCTAGCTGCTGAGGAGGCTAAGATCTGAGGACTGAAATCAACTTATGGAAAAAAAAAGAGATTCCATCTCAAACAGTAAAAGGTGAAATGGAGGTATGGCTTAAGTGGAAGAGCAGGGCAGGCAAGCCTGAGTTAAAAGCCTAGTACCAAAAAAATAAAAATAAAGAAAAAAGTGGCCAAGTATGAGTAACACAAATGTGTGAGACCAGGAAGGTCTAAAGTGAAACTGAGATGTTGAGCAAGATCTGGTAATTGGACATCATGGGTGGAACATGAGACATAATCAGTTAAGCCATGAATTGGGGAACAACACATCTGATGCTAATAGGAGGGCATTAGATACTGTGCTTAGGATGTTTTTCAGGACTGGTCACATTGGCCTCTTTCTTTACTCTTCTGAGTGTTCAAAGGACATCTAGATTTTAATAGAGCACTGAATGAATAGAATACAAGACCATGGACAAGAACTCAAAGGTTGAGCAGCCAAGGATGGAGAGTAGAGAAGACTTAGATTTATCTGTGCGCTGGTGGCTCATGCCTGTAATTCTAGCTATTCAGGAGACTGTGGCTCATAGCCAGCCTGTGGCTTCTGTGAGTCTCTGATCTCCAATTAAACAGCAAAAAGCCAGAAGTGGAATTGTGGCTTAGATAGAGCACCAGCCTTGAGCATAAAAGCTCAGGGACAGTGCCCAGGATCAGCACTAAAATAAAATTCCTTCTGGGTGCCTGTGACTCCTATAATTCTAGCTAATCAGGAGGCTGAGACCTAAGGATTGTGGTTCAAAGCATTCCCAGGCAGGAAGTCCATGAGACTCTTCTCTCCAAATAACCGCCAAGAACCCAAAAATGGAGCCGTAGCTCAAGTGTTAAGAGCTTTGGCCTTAAGCGAAAAAGCTCAGGGACAGGGCACAGACCCTGAGTTCAACCCCAGGACTAGCACCAAAAAAAAAAAAAAGAAAGAAATCTTAATTTAACACATTTATGATTTCTTGTGTATTTTTTTGTGTTAGTCATTGAAGAGTAAAAATCTGATTTTCCCTTGATGCCGTTAGGGAAATAGTAATACTTTTTAAGTGATTAAGCAGTTTCTATGCCACTCTCTTGCCTTCCACCAGATGGACCTCTTTCAATTTTAATTTTTCTCTGTGCCTTTCTTCCTTTTTTTTTAAAGTATTGTTATATATGTATCCCTCTTTTCAGCTTCCTCTTTTTTATTCAGAAAAATCAATTGTATATTGAAAGTTTGAAATGTTTATATGTATTGGAAAAGTGATTACTCTGTTAAATTTCTTTTTCCCTTTTACATTTCTAGAAAGGATATAAAAAAACAACAGTGTGAAGCTATTGTGGGAGCCCAGTGTGGCAATGCAGTGTTAAGGGGAGCCCACATCTATGTTCCAGGAATTGTGTCAGCTTCAAAATGTAAGTATAAGGCTTATTGGGTCCTCTAAAAGTCATGTGTGAAAGTGTTACCTTTTCACTCAAATGTATTTATCTCATGCTTTGTACTTAGTGTAGCCAAGATACCAGATGATGACTAACAAGTCATCTTGTCATCTTGTGCTGAGGAATCAAACCAAGGGACTCATGTATGCAAGGCAAGCACTACCACTGAGCCACATTCCCAGCCCTCCATTCTGAATTCCTGACTCTGCTACCTTAAAACCTTAGATCAGCTGTTAGAGTTGCATCCAAAAGCCACATTGAGATGAAGCTTGATACTTATTCATCTTGTTGATGACATATTACACATGCTTAGTAAGTTAGTCACTGTCTGGATGTGGCCAAGTCATTCAATGTGTAATAAGGAAACACTGATTTTGATCTGGTAGAAGTTTGTTCACTATTTTGGCCTCAGCTTGTGTGTGAGGTAAATACCTTGACTCACATAAGAATAGGCAAAGTGACAGGCTTGATCTGCTCCTTGTTTTTGTCTGGCCTATAACCTAAAAACTTTTGTTTTTGTTTGTTGGTTTTTTTTTTAACTTTTTTTTAAAACTTTTTTTAACATTTTTTTTAGGTGTACATTTTTTGAGTAATTCATTTGAAGGCAACATTTAGCTTTTTGAGTATTGAGCCAAGATATGAAGGCTTTTATGAATGTTAGATTTGGAGGAAATAATTATTCTTCTCTGTTCAGATGGAGATTTCCAATTACTCTATTGCTTTGTTTTCACCAAGAAGAGAAAGAAAATTTTCCCATTGGATGTTACAAAATATTTGAGAGCTGAGAGTTCTATCAATGATCATATTGAGATAATGAACAGTTTTAAACTGCTCCTATCCACCATTGATATACTTAGAGATGCCCATGGTAGTTTTGAGGACTTTCTCTATTCTGCAAAAGCATAGATTAGTGTAATCTGATTCTTTTCTTTCTCTAGTTATGAAAGTTGGCGATGTTGTTTCTGTATACTCTGATATTAAAGGGAAATGTAAGAAAGGAGCCAAAGAATTTGATGGAGAAAAAATATTTCTTGGAAATGGGATTTCAGAACTAAGCCGCAAAGAAATCTTTAATGGGCTACCTGAATTGAAGTATGTTACCAAGTGCTATGAGAAATAAGTATCCTTTTTGTGGTTACAGAAAATTAAAAGCAATATAAAAAAAATCTTACATTGTGTTATGTGCATACTAATATTGGTATAAAATCAGCTGAAAAAAAATTATTTGACTCATTTCTATCATTTTCAGAAAAGTCCTTTAGATCAAAATGGTTAAAAACCCTAAGTAATGACCTGGGAATATAGGTCAGTGGCTTTAGAATTTGTCTGTCATAAATGAAGACCTGTGTTTGATCCCCAGTATTGCCAAAAAGACCCCAAAATGTTCAAGTAAGCAACCAGTCGTGCTGTATTTACCAAATAATTTTACTTGGCCTTTTGAATTTTAATTATTGATAACTTTTTGTATGGATGAAGAAGGATATTGACCTTGGTAAAGAATCAGCTTTTTTGTTGTTGTTGTGGGGTTTGAATTTGGGGCCTAGGTTTTCTCCCTGAACTTTTGCACTCTAGTGCTCTACCACTTTGAGTACACAGCCATCTGGTTTTAAAGTCATGGACTTTATTGCCCTAGCTGGTTTTGAACTGCCATCCTCAGATCTCAGCTTCCTAAGTAGCTAGGATTACAGGTATGAGCTACTGGTGCCTGGTACCCAGCTTTTATAGATCTTTTAACACTCTGAATTTGTTTACAAAAAAAAAAAAGAAAATTGAAATTTGAAAATAAAGGGTCAGGCATAGTTGCTTACTCTTATAAACCCACCTACTTGGGAGACAAAGTTTTGAGGCTTGTGGTTCAAGGCTAAGCAGTGGAGGGTAAAGAGTTGGTGAAACCTCATAACAAGCAAGCTAGGCAAGGTGGATCAATCTGTGATCCCAGTTATGCAAGAAGTATAGATTAGAGGATGATTATGTGAGATAGTATATGAAAAAATAACTAAACCAAAAAGAACTGTCAGTGTAGCTTCAGTGGTGCTATATTTAGCATATGCAAGGCCATGAGTTCTAACTATGCTATCACTAAATTTTTTCCCTAATTTAAATACAAGTAAGTTTTCCAAGAGAGCTAGCATTCATGGATGTTTATGGGCAAAACTATAATTGTTCAAGCCAAATTAAAATTGGTTTTAAATCATCTCTTGTCTTCATCTCTTAGTCCTCCTTGGTAAATTAAATCATTCGATGAATTAGGCTCAGTTTTTGTTAGCCTGTTTCAGGAATGCTATAGAGAACTCTATTACTCCAAAGTTGACAGATGGAATAGATAAGCAAGAATTTGAAGCCATCCATTCAAAACTGGACTATAGCCTTGATTCCTGGGACCGTTTTTCATGTTGTTGCAATTCTCTGTGTAAGTGCAACATTCTTATGAAAAAGCAGGTTGTTGGCATTCCCTAGATCTAGAAAGCAGTACTTTCCAAATGCCAAGTGCTGTTTTATTCTCTTTGGAATGCTTTACGAGCATGAAGATTATGTACTACCTGCTGTCTTTATTTTCATTTTGTAGTAGGGAATTATTTTGATGGCCTTGGTTAATGGATGATCAGGGTATGCTCTTCCTTCAGTGTGTACTGAATAACGTTTTCTGAGCACTTCTGAATGTGGGAGTAGAAAGCAGCAGTTTTTTTCTAGTGTTGGTGTTCTCTGTATTTTTGTGCTCTCTGCTCTTTGATGGATACTGCCTATCTCTCTGAGGTATATGTGTATTTATCTTTTGAGTCACTTGCCATTGTTCTATTTTGTGTCCTTGTCCCCTCTGTACTCACCAGCTATACTGCCACTCTTCAGGTGAGACCAGGGGCAAAATGGTCATCCTGGGATTGTAGCAGTCCATGCCTCTGACTGTGGAAACAACAGGAAAGTGAACGTGAGAGTGTGTGTGCTTTTTTTTGTGTGTGTGTGTGCGCTTCACTAAATGGTTCTTGATTGGAAAAGCTAATAACTACAACCATAATTCAGTTGCAGAAAGATAAAAATAACTCATTCAAAAACCAGGTGTGGTTTGCTTTTTGATTTATTCAGATCTCTAAAGATCTCTTTTACATAAATGAAAAAGTTATTAGCTTTACCCTTTTTAACACTGAAAGAGCCACTTGTACTCTTGTACTCTATCTTCAGGTAAAAATTGAAAAATACCTCACAGTAGTATATTCCTAAAAATGTATACTTCGTGATTTATACAAACTAATAAAGGACTTCTCATTTTTCAGGGGTATAGGCATAAGAATGACAGAACCCATATATCTCAGCCCTTCATTTGACAATGTACTGCCTAGTTACTTATTTTTACAGGTAAGTATTTATGAGAGTAAAATATTCAGTGACGTTGCAACCTCAGTAAATTATTTGAAATTTAAGTATTTTTTAAAAAATTTCTAACATATTTTGTCATTTATTTGTGGTTTGACCTACTTTTGCTTGAACAGCAAGAGAAAGTTTTGTAAGCACTTTGTTGTTTTCCTTTTTCTATATCGATCTTTATAAACCTTTTGAGACATAGTCTTGAAATGTGTCCAGGCTGGCCTCTTTAATGCTTGGTCCTTGTGTCTACCTCCTGAGAGCTGCAATTACAAATCTATCACTACTGCAGCATTTTATGTTCTATTTTAAACTATACTCTTTTATGTCTGTCCAGAGGTGATTTAGTACATATTAAAATTACTGCTTTCCACTTCAGAATGTCAATCCCTAAATAGTAATTTTAATAATTATATATAGCTATATATATAATTATAACAATGATAATAAATGTTCCATTTGTAATGTTAAGTAAGATTCAGATGGTTTTACTACCATCAGATTTTTTTCAGGTGGTTACTGTGTTTTAGTAAATATTTACTTTGCCTTTGTTAGTTTGTTATGTTAGATCATTTGATTTTTTTAAAAAATAATTTGCTGCTTTAGTGATACCATTATTCCCAGTTTAAGATGAAGTTACTGAAGACTAGATCTGTTCAAGTTCTTGGCTAAAGTCACACTAATGCTCAATGGAGTCTGAACACAAACCCAAGCCTGGATGGATGTGCTGCTTCTCATCCTGGAAATAAACCAAAAGCTATTTTACAAATCCAAACATTTCTGGGTGAACAAACAGAAAATGATTGTTTATTACCATCTAATTGCACATTAGTGATGAAGTAGACACAAGGATATACAACTGAAAATATAATAGAGCTGTGTAAGCCACCCCCACCCACTTTTAGCCTTAAAACCATCTTAGTGGTAGCAATGACTTTATAAAATATAAATTGTGAAATGTTTCGTGATTCATAATGTCCACATTACCCTTAGAGTCATTTATCACTATTAATAAGACTTCTTTCCCTTCCTTCCTTTTTCTTTTCCTTGCCTCCCTGCTTTCTTTCCTTCTTTCCTCCCTCCCACCTCCCCCTTTCTCTTTATTGGCCCTGGCACTTAAGGCCTGCATACTGTCCTTGAGCTTTTGTTCTCAAAACTAGCTCTCTACCACTCAAGCCATAACTCCACTTCCAGCTTTTTGGTAGGTAATTGGAGACCAGAGTCTCCCTCCTTCCTTTCTCCTTTCCTTCCTTCTTTCCTCCCCCTGCCCCTTTCACTCTCTTTGTTTGCTGGTCCTTGCACTTGAACTAAGGGTCTAGGTGCTGTCCCTGAGCTTTTGTACTCAAGACTAGCTCTCTACCACTTAAGCCACAGTTCCACTTCAAGCTTTTTGGTAGTTGAGGATCAGAGTCTCATGGGCTTTCCTTCTGGAGCTGGCTTCAAGCTGTGATCCTCAGATCTCAGCCCCCTGAGTAATCAGGATTACAGGTGCCCAGCAGGAACATGAGACTTTAAAAAGCTTTTGTAGAGTTTAACCCATCATTTAGTGGAAGCTGTTTTATGTATTATGTACTGATGACCACTGATTGGCCAATAAGACATTAAAAATGATAATGTAGTAGCAGCTAATATTAAATGAATGACTTATTCCATAGTTATATTTAGGATTTCATATTTTTCTTATAGATTCCCAGTTTCAAAGATAAAGAAATGGAGACTTAGTAACATAAAATGCATAGCATATAATAGATATGCAATAATTTTCCAGTTATTGAATGATTTGCTTACTGTGTCAATAGAAATCAGCAAAACCAAAATTTGAACTCAGCTCTTTGACTTCAAATCTGTGTTCTTAACCCTATACCAAGTCTGAACGTGCCCAATCTTGTCCCTTTGCTTTTAAGTGTCAGCATCTAGGCTTTTATAGAAGCTAAGGAGCATAGCCATGACATCATCTCCATTATGGTTTCAGGTTTAATTTGAGCTAATGTAAGAGATACATAAGTTGCATGCTGGTGGTTCACACCTGTAATCTTAGCTACTCAGGAGACGGAGTGAGATCTAAGGAGGAAGATTCAAAGCCATCCTAAGCAGGAAAGTCCATGAGACCCATATCTCTAATTGACCACCAGAAAACTGAAGTTGATCTGTGGCTTAAAGTGGTAGAGTGCTAGCTTTGAGCAAAATAGCTCAAGGATAGCATCCAGGCCCTCAGTTCAAGCACCAGGACTGCCAAAAAAAAAAAAAAAAGAGAGAGACAGAGACAGAGGCCTTTCATGTACCTATACAGAGAGTCCTATTTCTCAGAAATTTTGTAGTTTCTTCACACCAGTAATTGGCCACTCTGGAGTAAGACGGTATGCACCAAATCACTCAGAGAACATTAAAGAATCTCTAGGGAATATTATTAGAGATTTCTTAAATAACGTTTTTTATTTGAGAATGATTTTAGAATTAGAGTTGAGTTTTAGAATTACAGGTTCTGAATAATAATATGAGTTCCCGTATGCCCTTTATTTCCCTACAGTGAAATCTTATAGTGTGATGAAACATTTGTCAATATTTAGAAACTAATTCTAGCTACTTGGAGGCTGAGGTGGGAGTATCACTTAAGCCTTTAAGAGCCTAGGTAACATACTGATACCTCATCTTATAAAAACAATAATGTCAGCCTGGCACATTTATTCATAACATTAGTATTTTACATATGCAGTATATAGACACTCAGATGTTGTGTATGTCACATTATACTTTACAAATTTTATTCACACTTCAAAAGTTTTTTCTTCATGCCCTTTTTCTTCCATGATCTAATCTAGAATCCCACACTGCATTTAATCCTTATGTCCCTTATTTTGCTCTGGCTTTGATAGTGATTCTTTTCTTTCCTTGTTTGTAAAGACCACCACGTTTTTAAAACATAAGGTATTTTGTAAAGTATCCCTCACCTGGACCTTGTCTGAAGTTCTCATAGTTAGCTCGACATTTCTGATTTTAGTTGAAGATACACAGATGAAATGCCTTTATGTTTACTTGAAGATTGTGCTTCAGTAGGTGTGGGGTGGGTATAAGGTATCTATTTTTCATTTGTATATTTTGGACTTCACAAGAGTATTGTTACTTATAATCGTGTTCCGAAACTACCACATAGGAAATGTCAGATAGGAAATGTCAGACTTTAGGATTTCTTTTCCCTAAGAACATAAGGAATATGTTTTTTGTGTTATATATTAGGCACTGTGGTAAGTAATTTTCAAGTATTATGAAATCTAATCTTGTTTATTTAGCTCAGTTCTGTATAGTGAATTCTCACTGTCTATAATTAACTTCAGTTTCTTCCCATCTTGCCTGAGTGAGACTCTTCTTATTTTATCTTCAATTGTATAATATAAAGTTAGCCTATTTTGGAAAGTAACATTTTCTCCGATGTGCTTCCACTATTGCTGTTAGCCAAATGTCTTTTTTTATTGCCTTGTTACATAAGAAACTTACCAGAATCTTTATATTGTATTACATTTGCCATTCTCTCATCAGGAGTTACTGATGCTTATGTTTTCGGTGTGGTACAGACATGTAAGCCTGAAGGAATTATATCTGTAGTCATACAAAATCCATGTGTCCTCATTGATGACTTTCATTTGCTCAATCGTTTTTTTTCTTATTGTGACTGTACTGGGGTCCGTTTAAGACACCCTCTCAGTTTGTTTGTTTGTTTGTTTGTTTTTGTGGGCCATGGGACTTCAACTAGGCCTGGGCACTGTCCCTCAGCTCTTCAGCTCAAGGCAAGCACTCTACCTACCACTTGAGCCACAGCACCACTTCCAGCTTTTTCTGCTTATAAGGTGCTGAAGAATTCAACTCAGGGCCTCATGCATGTGAGGCAAGCACTCTACCACTGAGCCACCTTCCCAGTCCCCTTCACAGTTCTTTACATTGGTTATTCTCAAGATAGCCCCCCTACAGTTTGATCCTCCAATGTTTGTTCTTTGCTTGGTTGCTTGGATGAGTAGGATGTGCCACCACACCCAGTCATCATCAGTTGAGATAGTCTCACAAACTTAGGTACCTAAGTTGGTCTTGAGCTACCCTATTGCTAGGATTATAGGCTTAAGCCACTGTGTCTGACTCATTTTGATCACCTTGTAGAGATGTTTTATTTTTTCCACAAAATGTATAATTATGCTTTTTCCTCTATGTCGCCAGTAATCTGTAGGAGAAACTTTAAAAATTATCAAAATATTCTGCTCATTAAAATTTCCTCTGAGCTTTAGCATCTGTTGGTGATCTTTGCCTGAGGTAGTCATTATTGTTTAAAATTAAAAAAATCCTCCTTTTCCAGTGTGAGCAGGAAACTCTGAGAGACTCTTATCTCCAATTAAGCAACAAAAAAGAAAACTGGAAGTAGAGTTATGACTCAAGTAGTAGAGCATTAGCCTTGAGCAAAAAAGCTTAGGGTCAGTGCCCAGACCCTGAGTTCAAGCTACAGGACTGGCACTTCCACTCCCCGCTTCCCCCCCACCCCCCCAAAAAAAGCTCCCTATTCTCAACATTTCTCACTCAACATTTTAATATAAAATCCTTCTTTTCCTCTCTGCTTATTAACAATTCAGATTCAAAAATTTGTTCTTAGTCAAATACATTGCTGCATTATTTTTTGCCAGTCCTGGGCCTTGAACTCAGGGTATGGGTGTTGTCCCTGAAGCTTCTTTTGCTTAAGTTTAGCACTATACCACTTGAGTCGCAGTGCCACTTCTGGCTTTTTCTGTTTATATAGTACTGAGGAATTGAAGCCAGGGCTTTATGATGCTAGGCAAGCACTCTACCCCTAAGCCACCTTCCCAGCCCTCATTGCTGTATTATTTTAATGCTAACATTGTCCTAAATTTGACCTTCTAGGAGTCTATTTTCAATTTCAGTTTTTCTGTTTATGTAGGGTGGTGGTGCTCAGTAAGAAACCCAGGGCTCATACAGCCCAGCCCCTCCATGTTTGTTTCAATCTGGATTGTATGGATCAATATTATGTATAACTGTAATAACAATCTTGGAAAGTTTGTTAGAGTGAAAATTCATTAATACAGTTGAGTTGACACTAAGATTTTTATATCTTCTAAGAAGTTTCCAAAAGATTTGAATCCCTATGATAGGAGAAGCATACTTGAGTTACAAATTTTGTTATTATAATACTTTATAATTCTATATGATAGAAGTGCTAATTTATGTAAATGTGTATTATGTAAATTTCCTTAGGTCCTTATTGTATTAAATGTGTAGGTAGGATGCCTTATTAATTAGAGATTTCTGTTCCGTTTCTATTATCTATAATCTGTTCACTTAAAAATGCCAAGTTGGATGCTTTTACTTAGTGGGTTATTAGTGATGGACTGAATCTAAGGTATCTGACGGGCTGTGAGAGTATTGATTCCAGCCAAGACTAGAAGAAAGATCTTATTTCCCCAACAGCTTGATGGATTTATTTCCTCTTACAAATAAGGAAACTAGGGTTGCTAATCTAACTGGTTTTGAGAACTAGATCTTCCCTCTCTCCAAGTCACATAAACTTATCTAGAGACCTGTTTGTTTGTTTTTTCATGTAACTGTCCTAATAACTATTGTCTTGAACCAGCATATAAGATAATATTCTTTATTAGATGTATAATTGGAAGAGATATTTTCCCAGTCTGTGGGCTGTCTTTTTTATTTAATTACTATGCCCTTTGCTATACAGAAACTTTTTAGTTTGAGGTATCCCTTCTGACAAGGGCCTAATATCCAAAATATACAAGGAGCTTATGAAACTAACCCCTCTCCCCCCAAAAAACAGTCAATAAATGTTCAAAGGAATTAGAGACTTTTTAGAAGAAGAGCACAATGACAAACAAAACAAAAACCACATGAGGAAATGCTCAACATCCCTGGTCATAAAGGAAACACAAATCTAACCAACATTGAGAGTCCATCTCACCCCAGTAAGATTGGCCAGCATTGACAATTTGAACATTAATGCTGGTGAGGATATGGGGAGAAAAGAACACTATTACACTATGATAGGAATGTACAACGATGCTGAAAGGTGGTAAACTAGTACTAGTTTCTAAAAAAAAAACACATAGATCTAGCCTGTTGTCCAGCCGTACTACGTCTAGGCATCTACATTACAAGTTAGGATACAGTTAAGACACTAGCATATCCATGTTCAATGCTGCACCATTCACGATAGCCAAGTATGAAAACAGCCCAGATGCCCTATCATGGATGAGTGGATCAAGAAAATGGTGCTACCACATATAGAATGTGGTTTTATTCATCCATTAGAAAGAATAAGATGTCATTTGCCAGGAAAAGGATAGATCTAGAACAAAACATGTTAAATGAAGTAAGCCAGGCACAGAGTGAGAGATGGCATGTTTTCTCTCATGTGGAAGCTATATTTAAAATACAGCTGTGCAAGATAACATGTACGGGGCTCTATGCATTTACACTCTGACTAAAGGAGGGTACACTTGGGAGAAGAACCCAAAGGCACAACTCTGAGGAACGTGTGTGTATGTGTGTGTGTGTGTTTATAAAAAACTGACTGAGTCCAGGAGGCTTTGAATTTGACACTTTTTGTCTCAGCCTTCTGAGTGCAGAGATGACAGCTGTGTGCCACCACATCTAATTTCAAAGGTTATTTTACATTCTGATTCTAAAATAAAAATGATTTAAAATTATTAATAATTGTTGAGGTGATTTTCTTACAGAATTTGCCATCTGCTGTAGTAACTCATGTCCTGAATCCTCAACCTGGAGAGAAGATCCTAGATATGTGTGCAGCACCTGGAGGCAAAACAACTCATATTGCGTCACTAATGCATGATCAGGTGAGGCTCTAAACATGTAGCATATTTCATTGGTTAGGATGGAACACAGACATTCATCATCCAATTTACATCAATTCCATCTAAAATGAAGATGATTTGTGTCAGCTGCTAGGGTAGGTTCAGTAGACAGTTACTTGTGAAGACTGCCATACAGAACTATTTACTCGCAAAGCTAACTTCAAAACACTTAAGAGCTTTTCCTGTTCTTTATCATTCAAATTTGTACTTGGTACTATAAAACTACAAAGTAATCTGACAATACATTAGCACTGTTGAAATAAACATATAATGCAATGTAATATGTATGTGTAGAATGTGTATATCTTTAGGATTATATAAACCTTATGATCCTGCTTTATTGTCACAAAATAATGGAGCAAACTGACTTTATATATAACTTTAGCATATGTACCTAGGTATATATGCAAAGGTGTTTTCTGTTTTTAGAAATTTTTAAGTTAAAAAAAAATAAATGAGCTAGGCAGTGGTGGTTCACCTGTAAGCCTAGCTACTCAGGAGGTTGAGATCTAAGGATTGTGGTTCGAAGCCAGCCAAGGGCAAGGAAGTCTTACAGACTTCCAATAAACTACTCCCAAAAAGCCAAAAGTGGAACTGGGGCTAAAGGGCTAGAGCACTAGGCTTGAGCACTGAGAGGCTCAGGGTCAGGGCCCTGAGTTCTAGCCTCAGGATTGGCAAAAAAAAAAAAAAAAGTGTCAGTACCAGGGCTTGAATTAGTAGGAGCCAGTATATTTTGCTGGGCTTTTTCCATTTCACTCACAGCTGGCACTCTACCACTTGTGTTACACCTACAACTGGAGCTATGCCTCCAGTCTGGCATTTTTGTTGATTAGTTGGAGCTTTTGTGCCCCAGCTTGTTTCAAATTGTAATCCTCAGTTCTCAGCCTCCTGAGCAGCTAGAATTTCAGGCATGAGTCATCACCTCCCAACTAAAATATTTTCTTTTATTATAGGTAGGCATTATCAAAAGTTATTCAAGGCACTATTCAGAAGTCATTGTAGCTTTGTAATTACTCTTCAACTAAAGAATAACAATGTTTAAATCCTAGTGAAAGTAGATATATTAAGAGGAGAAATTCATAGTGCCAGGAGCAAGGAGGATAATTTTTAGAACACATCTTTGTGTAGGTGAGATAGGCTAGGAATTACTACTCAAGTGGCTTTTGGTAGTGGGTGGAGATTTTTATGAGTAGATCCATTTTTGATCAATATGATAATTGTAAGACTTTAAAAGGACTTATAATATTTTTGAAAAATAGAAATACAGTATAAATTGTGTTATTACCAGATTTCTGGTGAAAACTTAACACTAAACATTATTAACCCTATAGTAATTTATGAAATATTCGGTGTTCTAAACAGAGACGATAAAAAATTTATATACATAAAAATAGGTGGTGGTGTTTTTTGTTTTGTTCACATTACTGAGGTTTGAACTCATGCCTTGGTGTTTATTTGGCTAGTGTTCTGTCTCTGATCCATACCTCCAGCCATATTTCTGCTGGTTAATTGAAAAAAAATGAGTGTTGAGAATTATTTTGCCTGGTCTGCTGGCCTCAAATGTTGATTCTCTAGATAATCAGCCTCCTGAGCAGCTAGGATTAAAGTTGTGAGAACCTCTGGTACCTGACTTAAATATTTTATTTTAAGGTGGTGGGGTTGAATGCAAGACCTTGCATTCAACTGGGGTCCTGTATTGAGTCACATGTCTAGATACTTTATTTGTTGTAGTAAAAAAGGTCTTTCTGAAGAGAGTCTGAATATTACCAGTATAGCCCTTTATACTTTGTTTTGTAATGCTATGAAAGAAATGCAAGACTCAGGTGCAAACAGCTTTATTAGGCTCAGAGGTTTGTGGCATTCACTTAATTTCTATTAGCCTGGCTCATGTATCTGGTCACCTGTAGTTTAGCAGGACGGTTCTGGAAAGTTTGAGTGGTCTTACTCAATGGGTTTGAATGGTTTTCAGTTATTTAAAGTGACCTTAGCTGAGGTAGCTAGGATGTGCTGCCTTTCTCTTTTCCCCATAGGTCCTGAGTTAAACCCAGAAAAGTCAGTCATTGATGAATAGTAATGGCAGAAAGGAAAAACAAGCAAATCACCTAGTATTCAAGTGATTTTAATGTTTTTGTGGTAAATTTACTGTCATCCTGATGGCAACAAGTGCAGTGAGCCTTAGTCTGCATGGCAGTGTGAAGGAAGTGTGCATGCAGTGAAGAACGATCCACAGGGATCTTTTTCTGGCATTAAATATCACCATGATATTACATGAATTTTATATGAATAAATTGAAAATATCAAAATGATCAGTTTTACAAATAATGTTCACTTCCATCTAAAGATACTTTAGTTATAGAATAGAATTAATGCTCTTGCAGAGATGATTAGGTCACATCAGATTGGTGATTTTTTTTTTTTTTTTGGTTTTAGGGCTTGAACTCAAGATCTGTGCGCTGTCCCTGGGCTTTTTTTGCTCAAGGCTCTACGAGATCAGCCACAGCTCTACTTCTGGCTTTTTGGTGATTAATTGGAGATAATAATCTCATAGACATTTCTGCCAAGGCTGCCTTTGACCCATAGTCCTCAGATCTCAGACTCATGGGTAGCTAGCATTACAGGTATGAGCCACCAGTTCCTGGCTCAAACAGGTGATTCTTAATGTTTACCTTCAATGGATGCTTTTAAATTCCTTGAGAAGATTGAGAACTCTATTTTCAGTTTTTATTAGTGTTGGCTAAAATTAAGGAGCTACCACTACAAAGGTTCTTCATAGAATACGACTGTGAATATCTTGCAGAGAGTGAACCATGCAGAGGGAGGAAGGTGGAAAGAGAGGGTGATTGTGGAGATGAAGATAAATGAACTACATTATGTTCATATAGAATAGAATAATGAAAATAGAATAATGAAACCCATTAATATTGTTAAAAATATGAAGAGTAATGGAACCAATTAAAATTGTTCAAAAAAAAAGGTGGGGGGAGGAATGAGAAAATGACAGGAGGCCAGTATTTTCAAAGTACTTCTAACCTTTTTGTACAGTTAATATATGCTAGTAAACATAGCTAGCTGTAAGATTAATTGACAAGAGTGTGCATTTTTTATGAAAGATTCAAGCATTTGGCATAAATTGAATTTTTGTTTGTTGGGTTGTCTTTGTCGTGCTGTACGCTCTAGACAACACAATACACATGTGTTTATTAAATTTAGCTTTAGAAGTAGGACTAGGAGGAAAGTAGAGATTCTAATTTTTAAGGTTTTTTTTTTTCAGTTGTTTGTGACTGTTTTGGATTTATACTTTCTTTTTCTTTTTAGGGAGAAGTAATAGCCCTGGATAAAATATCCAATAAAGTAGAAAAAATAAAACAGAATGCTTTATTGTTAGGACTGAATTCCATCAAGGCATTTTGTTTTGATGGAACAAAGGCACTTAAACTTGATATGACTAAAGATCCATCAGGTGAGTTAAATTTTGTTTTTTTGTTGTTTTTATTTTTTATTGTAAAGATGCTATACAGAGGGTTACAGTTACATGAGTAAGGTAATGAGTACACTTCCTATTGAGCATTTTTACCCCCTCCATTGTTTTCCCCCTACCATCCCTTCCCTCCCTACCTTCCCCAAGGTTCTTTTTTTTCTTTTTTTTGATTGTGATTAAGTGATTACATAATTTCCCGAATTTCACAGTATTATGGAATAATGATGCTCATTTAAAGTCACAAGTTCATTCTAACTTTCCTGGAGCAAATTGTCTATCACAGTCTATAACATATAACGGTGTACACATATACACCATACATGTGATCAGCAGCATGGGGATATTTAGTAGTGGCTCGACCAGATGAGTGGGAGTTCTTCGTTTCTTGAGTCCTGTTAGTTTTGTCGTATCACCTAACATTTTGGATTTAGCATACACTTATCAGGGAGACCATGTACCGTTTGTCTCTTCGCTCTTGGCTTACCTCGCTCAACATGATTCCTTCTAGCTCCATCCGTTTCCCTGCAAATGACATTATTTTGTCATTTCTAATGGCTGCATAATATTCCATTGTGTATAGATACCACAATTTTTGGATCCATTCATCTGTGGTGGGGCATCTGGGTTGTTTCCATATCCTAGCTATTGTGAACAGTGCTGCAATAAACACGGAGGTACACGTGTCCTTGTATATTGGTTCCTGTTGTTCAGGGTAGATGCCTAGAAGTGGTATGACTGGGTCATAAGGGAGGTCAATCTTTACCTTTCTGAGGACCCTCCAGACTGCTTTCCAAAGTGGTTGTATAAGTGTACATTCCCACCAGCAGTGTAATAGGGTTCCTCTTTCTCCACATCCCCTCTAGCATTTGTCGTTGGCTGATTTGTGGATGTGGGACATTTCTGACTGGGGTAAGGTGGTATCTCAGGGTTGTCTTTATTTGCATTTCCTTCACCACCAGGGATGATGAACATTTCCTCATGTGTTTCTTTGCCATT